CAATCCATATGCATGTACTTTGTTGCTCTTGCAGTTAAAGGAGCTAACATTCCTTCAGTTGTCGAGATATTGACAGAAAGTGGAATTTGGAAATATTCATTCATATTATTCCTCGTCATATTTTTGGTCATAATTTTTTTGAATGTTTCAAGTCGCATCCTGAGTTGAGGCTTGCTAAATTTTGGTCACAGGCTTTTCCATCTGATGCTTTAGTTGATCCTTCTACTTGTTTGGTGGATGCCTTCCATCATCTAATTAGACTTGTTTTAAAATTTTTGCGCTTAGATCATTGACTGATGTTGCTACTCCTGCTAGCCCTTTAGTGCTAATATCATCATTGGTTGTTAATATTACGCTTTCTGTAAGTTCTTGAAATGCCACAACTTCATTCCCTTTGTGAGCAAAATGACCACCCTTACCATAAACAAGAATTTCATTCTAATTGGAGCATTTAGAGCGTTGAATCCTTGAAAAATAAAATATTTCATATTCTTTGTACTAGACGGTAGGAATCAGCATAATATTTATCACCACTCACCAATATTCTCTACATTCATGGTAGGCAATCTAAATAATTTTATCTCATATTATCCCATTGTGTGTGTGTGTGTATATATATATATATATATATATATATATATATTGAAATTTCTGTTAAATGTTCTTATTGTATTTTTTTTTTTAATCTAGTTTATAAAGTTTGTGCTACCGGAACTAACTTAGAAATCAACAAAAATTAAAGGAAATTTTTGTTAGCAACTGAATTAGGGTTACAAACAACTGAAAACAGAAACATGACACAACAACCATCTCAGGCTAGAGCTGGAAGCGAAGATCTGAGGGCGGTAGTGGCGTCAGAGAAGCGTCAAGGGGAAAGGGAAGGTTTGAGGGCTGTAAGTTTCATTGGAAAGAGGGCTAGTGGCTGGTTTGAGGGTTGGAAGCGTGGGGCGTTAGGGAAAGCTGCAGGGAAGGAAGGGGAATGGTGTTAGGTGATGGAGGGATGGGCCAGACAACAAAGAGAGCAGTTATAGAGGGTCGGCTGGATGCAGGAGGATGGCCGGGAGGGCTGGACAGAAATGGCTGCAGGGGGAAGGAGAATAGGTTGCTGTGAGGTGAATTGGGGGACCGGAAAACAGGCTTGCTTCGGTTGAAGGGTGCGGCAGAGCAGCTGGAAGGTTATGGGGTGACCGCGTCTTAGGGTGGTGAAGGAAAAGGGGTAGAGAAGAAGATAGGAGAGGATAAAACGCCACATCAAAGCAAGATACAAACCCGTAGTCAGATACAACCCTACTAAGTGTAAAGGAGACTCCAAGGGAGAATCTGAAAACCCTAATTCTCTCACACAGTAATAAAAAGAATCTGATATGTAAAAAAACCTGGAAAGAAAGGTTTTTTTTTTGGGGGGGGGGGGGGGGGGGGGTGGGGCATTGCCGCCCTTCCAAAATGATGCTCAGTCCTTTTGGGACCTAGGCCGACCCCTTCCCAGATCGGGTATAGGCGCCAAATCTAATTGCCAGCTGGTTTAGCCGAATAGCTCACCCAGCCTCTCGTCAGTCTCCCGAGGTTGTGGGAGCCTTGACCTCATTTGTCGAAACTTCCAGTTTCTTGTCTCCATTCTTGACAGCACCTGGATCTCATTGGCTACTATATCGCCCTCCAAGGCACCTGAGGGCCTTATCTAACTTACGAGCAAACTTCCACATCTGTTCAATCTTCTAGGAGTTGGTTACTAAACTAAATGGGGTTTGTATCTCGTTTCTGCTACTGGATACTCCCATAGTTATCCATGGTTTGTTTAACTAGATATGAGGTGGGGGTAATCAGAACCTTCCCACTCGTTGGTGGTGTTGATGGTATGGTGTCGACCATGATATCCTGAAATACCTTTTGTTGTGCCTCCCATGTCTGGAATTGGTGTTTCAGTCCTATCAACCTTTGTTGTCACCAAAAGTAGTCTCACTGAGGCTGCTCTGCTAGTGAATGCTCATGTGATCTTGAGCTCTGCCAAAGGAAGTAAGATGATGTGCTTCTCATTCTTGATGAAGGAATACGTGTTTCTGAATCCATTGTGTTGAGTTCTTTGGTCAAACTGCCACAGTCTTCCCAACAACAGGTGATAGGCATTCATAGGGACCACGTCGCACCGCACATGGTCCTGCAGCTAGCCCCCAATCGAAAACTCTACTAAACATCTTTGGGCTGACCCGATTCATCTTTAGCCACGTCAGTCAGGAGGCCTTTTTTTCAACCATTTGTATGGATGCACATTCTTTATGCTCCTTCCATTGAAGATGAGGTTGCATACCTTCTTGTTCACTGTGCACTGAGTGTAGAATATATTGTGACGAAATCACTATGAATCCCTCCTATCAATATCGCTATTCAGGAATCGTTGAACTATGAGCGTTTCTCTTTCAGCTGATGGAAGATGATATACCTCACCTTGGCCCTCATTGTCTCATCGTTGCTAACTTCCTCCATGGCGCCCCGACTTGTGAGGGTGACTACTCAACTTTTGGGACAGTTGGAGGCTATGTGGTCGTAGCTGTGGCACCTGAAACACTTTTTGGCTGATACTGTATTGGAACGGCTACTTTTCTCCTTTTTCTTCTCACTTTAATCTGGCTAGTCACTTCCTTGTCCAGGCTTGCTAGTTCCTCCCAAGGTACCCTTGTCGGTCATGGTAGCTGTAGGTAACTGCTTGACTTAAGTTTGTTGTCGGACGACTACTGCATGCTTTTTTTCCTATTTTCTTTCCACCTTTAATGCTAGAGTCCGAACATTTCCAAGTGACGAATAAGTTGCAGCAGGACCTCGTTGCTAATAGCTCGCTTCAGACCCCTCAGATAAAGAGTTATGGTATGCTCCTCTGCTCAACCAAATGACTCCTCATTTGTAACTGATCAAACTGCTTCGTTAACTTCTCTACTGACAGATCCTTATGCTGGTTGTGGTGGAACATCAGAATCATATTCTGGCAGTAGTGATTTTGGAGGTATTTTTTTTGCATCGCTTTCTTCATCTTCCCTCGGCTAGTAATCTTGTTGTTGCTTTCTCTTTTCCTCTGTCTCTATAATTTCTCCCACCACAAAGAGTCATTTTTCTTCAACTTGATATCAGCTAATTTGATCCTCTTATCCTCTGGCACATCCTTATAATCGAAGATCCGTTCAACATATTGCAGCAATCAATAATGTTTTCTAGATCCATACCTCCATCAAATTCTGGCAAATCTACTTTGATCTCAAAGCCTTTGTGCCCTTCAAATGATCTCTCCTTTTTGAGATTCTCCCAATGGAAGTGATTTAGATACCCCTCTCTATGCCTTTTCTGATTCTAGATTTCAAAATGGCGCGACCTGTCTTCTTCATCGCTGAAATTCTCCCTATTAAAGGGATTCATATTCTCTCTCATCCCTTCAACTCTCCATATCTCAGTTGAGGGTAACCTTCTCTTGGTTCATCTCATCAATCTCCACAAGCATTTGTTGAAGGTTTCAGAGCTCCAATCGTATATCTTCCAGAGTTGGATCGGGCATATATCTTCTTGGTGGCATAATTAGGGTTTGAAATTTGTGAAATTAAAAAGGGAATTTGGTGGTAGGAAAGAAAATTTTTTGTTTATGTTGGATGCTAGGAAACCCTAGGATAGGACTAGGGTCAGACTAGCTCCAATACCAAACGATACCGAAGCTAAATAAAAAATCAGCGGAAATGAAATCAAACTTTTATTAGCAACTGAATAAAGGTTTCAAACAATTCAAAATTGAAACACGACACAACAACAATCATCTCCAGCTAGCGCTAGAAGCGAAGATCTGAGGCGTTGGTGGTGTCGGCGAAGTGGCAAAGGGGAAAGGGAATGGTTGAGGGGTGTAGGGTGGGTTGGAAAGATGGCTGGTGGCTGATTGTGGGGTTAGAAGCAAAGGGCGGCAGGGAAAGCTGTAAGGAAGGAAGGGCAAGGGTGCTTGGTGATGGAGGGACGAGCTGGACAGCCAGCAGAGCGGCTGTAGAGGGTCGGCTAGATGCAGGAGGGTTGCTGGGAGGGCTGGACAGAAATGGCGGCTCCAGGGGAAGGAGAACAAGTTGCTGGGAGGTTAGGCTGGATAGTAGGCTTGCGGCAGTTGAAGGGGGCGGCAGAGCAGCTTGAAGGATTTGGGGTGGTCGGCGGCTAAGGTAGGTAAAGGAGAAGGGATAGGGAGGAGGATAGGAGAGGATGCAACACTTCCTCGGAGTAGGATACGACCGAAGCATCTCTCGTCATCAGATACAACCCTAGCAAGGAAGAAGGAGGCTCCAAGGGAGAATCTGAAACAACAACACGACAAAATATAGTCCTAATTCTCCCACCAACAATAAAAAGACTCCATTAAGGGGAAAAAAGCAAAAAGAAAAAAAAAATGGAAGGTAGGGTGGCAGCCAAAGTGCTGTTCGGTCCCTTTGGGACCTGGACCGGCCCCTTGTCAGACCGGGTACAGGTGCCTGGGCTGATTGCTAGTCGGCTTAACTGGCTGGCTTCACGTCAGTTTGCTTGTTTAAAAAAAAAAGGGAGTTAACTCTGAAATCTAAATTTGTAGAGAATTGTAACTCTCCTATCAAAAAAGAGAAGTCAATTCTATGCAGATATAAACTTCAACTAATACACTTGATTGGATGAACTTACAATGTTATCGCCCTTATCCTGAAACTTTAGGTTTCTGAAATGTTCTCTTCATGCTTTTGCGCTGTTTGAAAAAGATTGTTAACGATTATTGTAGCCATTTGAGGCTTCAGTTTTGCTTTGTATGAGGTATGTACATTTTACAACTTGAACTAATTTGTTGTTATTTTGGAGTTGATTTTACTTTTCTGACCTTTTGATCTGAAGTTTGTTAAATGGTTTGCTATTCTGATGACATTTTCAGCTTTCCTATTTTATTAGGCAGTCATATATTTAATTATTTGTGTGATACTAGTTTTCTCTTTTGGATCTCTAATTAATTAATGTTTTAACTTAAACAGGCTTTTGCAGTAATTGCTAACTCGCCTCTTCGGGTGGATCTATCTTGTGTCTTGGAACAAGTTGTTTCAGAGCTAACAGCATTACTTCAATTCATTTTGTACTTGCCAGACTAGAAAATATCCGCTGATTTTCATGTACTTAACTGTGCCATAGGCTAATAGAGCTTTGAGGCAGGCTACATTAGGGACACTCAATTCCTTGCTTATTGCTTATGGTGATCGAATTAGTTCACCAGCTTTTGAAGTTATAGTTGTTGAACTTTCAACTCTGATAAGGTTTCTGTGAGCCCAACTTTTTTCATTGGATCTTTTTGAACAGTACTATTGACCCATTTTTGTTGACAGTGATATGGACCTGCATATGACTGCTCTTGCGTTAGAACTCTGTTGCACTTTGATGACTGACAGAAAGTCTAGAGAGAGCGTTGGTTTAACAGTTAGACAGAAAGTTCTTCCACAAGCGCTCCTACTAATCAGAAGCTCCTTGTTACAGGGCCAAGCTTTGCAAGTATGAGTTTCTTCGAGTTAGATCTCAATTTTAACTTTTCATTGAATATATTAAGACTGATATTTTAATGTTGTAGGCTCTGCAAAGATTTTTTGCTTCATTGGTTCATTCAGCAAATACAAGCTTTGATGCGCTATTAGATTCACTTCTTTCAAGTGCTAAACCATCACCACAGTCTGGTGGTCTTTCCAAACAGGCTATATATTCTATTGCACGATGTGTTGCTGTGCTTTGTTTAGCTGCAGGCGATCAGAAATGTGTATCTACTGTTGAAATGCTTAAAGGCATCCTGAAAGATGATGGTAACACCAATTCTGTGAGTATCTGATTTGGTGCTACGCTTCATTATTGCTTTATTGGTGATCTATAATCTGCCATTATTTTGCTTGATTTACTATGTCGGTCGTTAGGAGGCATATTAAGGAAGTAAATTTATATTTTTGCTTAACTATACCTAATCATAAACAAATCAACGATTTCATGCAGGTTCAAGTTTTTGGAAATTTCAATTTGGACTCTAACTCACAAAATTATCTGTGAGCAGGGTTATTGTTTAAAAGTGTGTATTTGGATATTGACTTGTTTTTCGTTTGTAAGTTGAGGCTTTACCCTCAAGGTGTTTTGAGGCATAGGCCTCAAACTTTAAAAAAATTGTAAATTACTAAATCTTTTATAAACTATAAAGTGTGAAGTAATGTTTTAACTTATGAACACATTGAATCAATGTTCGACTTTAAATCCATATCTTTTTGCTTTGTTTATGAATGTTTTTACTGGACATTTACAGGAGGATGCACCTTGGTGTATACTTTTTGTTGATGCTTCTTGTGGATTAAACTAAAGAGTTAAAAAAAATTGATTTATGGAGGTCAACTTTGGATTCTAAAAGCTTTCGTTTGAGTTGATCTAAAACTAAATACATGGAATATAATTTTAGTAATAATAGATCTGGTGGAGGCATTGTCACAATTGATGATTTAAGTCATTAAAAGAACTGAACATTTTATATATTTCGGGTCTATTGTTCAAAGGGACAGTGATATAGATGGGGGTGCTAGTAGTAGAATTCAAGTTAGATGGTTGAAGTGGAGGAATTCATCAAGCCTATTGTGTGATTTAAATTTACCTCTTAGAATTAATGGAAAATTTTATATATGGTAGTGAGACCTGCAATGTTTTATGGCGCAGTGTTAGCCTGTAAAAGTGAAGCATAAAATTAAGTGTTGTTGAGATGAGAATATTCGGGCGGATGAGTTGCTTAGCACGTAGAGACAAAATACAAAATGGATATATCCATGAAAGGGTTGGAGTAGCTCCAGTGTCTGACAAAATTACAAAGTGGCGTCTTAAGATAATTTGGTCATGTTAAAAGTCAACCAACAATTTGAAGGTCCTGTTAAGAGAGTAGATGTTTTAAATTTAACTTATGTCAAGAAAGGTAGAGGTAAACCTAAAAAAACTTGGGCATGTTGTAGAAAAAAGTAATCTTAATTTATTAAAATTAAATGAAAATATGACGTTCAATAGGACACAATGAAGAAAAACGGTTCATGTAGCCGCTCCCACTTAGTGGGATAAAGGCTTGTTGTTGTTATTGTTGTTTTAACTCTATAAAAGTAACATAACAATATCCCAACCAAGTAAAAGTAATAAATTGCCTAGAATTAGAAGTAATGTGTTAATATCCTAATATTAAGTTATGAAATAAGATGTGTTATAAAAATATTAAATTATCAAAGTATGTTAAGATATTAAAATAATATGATAAAGTATCAAAATATAACAATAAATCAAGCTCAACATTAATCTTTCTCTTTCACGCATACTACCCTCCACATAAACATGAATCTAAAACTCATCAAAGTTGGAATTTGAATTTTAGAAGTTCTTATTACTCTCATCACCCAATTGATTTTTATTAAAATCACTGAGATAATGAATTATTTATCTTGCATCTTAATCTTAGTCATATCTATATTATCCCATTTTTCATTATATTTAATTCCAATTATCTTCTATTTTTAATAAATAATCATCAATAAAAATATTAATTAAAATAATAACTATGTTGATAGAATTTCAATTATATAAATTTTTGTTGATGTTTTTTTATTTATTTTTTCATCAGTGTATGTGGTGTGAGGGTTTATAGGAAAATATATATTATTTTTAGTTTTGTTTAAAAATAATTATGGATAACCTAAAGAAATTAAAGTGTTTTTGGGTCGGGCATGCCTTAGCCTAAGTGAGGCATATAATGAGGCTCAAATGTTATCGCATTTGTCTGTAAAAAGTGTTGACGAAGCCTCAAGGCGTTTCTTAAATTTTGCAATTTTACTCAAGGAGCAGTGGTACAACTTGATTTTTTTTTTATTAAGGGCATCAATTCATAGTTTTAAAAATACATTAAATTTTTTTTTTCACCTGGATTTGGGATCAACATTGGAAATTAAAAAAATTATTAGGTTTTATTAAAAAAAAAATAATATATGATTAAAATGATTTCGATAATATCATTTGTAATCAAGAAGGTGGTGTGCGTCGAGCAGCAAATGTTTAGCAATTTTTTTGTGGAAAACTACAAAGATCCCTGTGATTGGGAACATATAAGAGTGTGATGGCATTGAATTACAAAGCTGAAGATAATAATTTTATTGTTACAATTTGGGCGGTGTGGGCACTATAATATCCCATTTCTATAACTGGGGGAAAGGAAACGAAAAAAACTAAAGAAGTGGAAGCGAGTAGTCGAATAAAGGGGAGACGAATCAGGGGTTGGATAGATGAAGAAATTGGAAATGAATCGAATAGTTGGGAAGTTGAAACGAGGGGTTCGAAAGCCTATAAACTGAGTTCGAGAGACGAGCACAAGCTAGGGTTTCCTGTAGCTGAAGGAGGGGAAGAGTGAAAGTGGCGTCAGTGGCATCAGTGGTGAGCAGAGAAAGAGTCGATGTCGGTATCAAGCCGCCAAGGATGAAGGCTTTCTGATTTTGTGGAAGAAGTCCTTGAGTGACTCACATCTAGCTTGCGGAGAGGAAGAAGGGAGAAGAAGAGGTGCTCACAAAGTAGGGAGTCGAAACCAGTGGAGTTATTGCGTGCAGAGCGACCAGGGTAAGTTATGTTATGAAAAATTTATAGTTAATGAGTTAACTAAAATAATATAAACTAAGAAATTAAATTTCTAATAACATGAATACCATGTTTGGCTTCTTAGAATGGTCGACGTCAAGATAAATCAAATAAAAGACTAATAGTAATCGAGGCGAGTACTCATATTTTTAATCTATAGTAATATATTATTTTTTCTCAACTATTTTGCAATTAATGATACTTGCACAAGTTTAATTTTGATTGAGATATTGTTTTATTTATTTGTCATATTCTTATGAATGTTATGTACTTGTAGCTACTTAATATTATGTAGTGGTTTATGCTATGTTGAATTGAATGCGATGAACACATGAATAATTATTTATATTGACTGTTTGTATGCGCATAATTGATTATGATGAAATCATTCTTTATGGTACTAGTGGAGGAACACCAATTTACCTGTGCACGTATATGAAAAAAGATGTTGATATTGAAGTACTTTAAGTGATACAATTTTAGACGGTGCTCCTGTGATGGTTGTATAGGTATCGAATGATATTGATATGTTGTTGATACAGTAAAATTCTTTGAATAACATCAAGTATCGAATGATATTGATACGTTGTTGATACAGTAAAATTCTTTGAATAACATCAAATATTTATATTGGTTTTTTAGGAAAATTACTTGGCATGCATATTATTTTCTTTTCACTTGTATTACTGTAATTTAGAAGTATGATTATTCACTGACTTGTTAGCTCACTATTATTTTTAAACTAACTCTTCAGCTTAATTTAATTATTTAAAAGATGATAATGTTTATAGAAGAGGCAGACGACCAGCAACAATGTAAATTTAGATATACTGTTTTAATTTAATTTTTTTGTTGCATGTTTCATTTGTTAAATTGTAGATGAATATAGAGAACTTAGTTCCCACTGTCGGACTGTCTGTTCTCTTCTTAGTTAATTCCAAGTCCTTGGCCGGATTGTGATAGGCAGGACCACCAATGCCCAGTTTTTTGTCACTAGTTTCTTTTTCTTTCATATCTTTGGGAAATGTAAACATTATAGGAATGGTGTAGCTAGGGACATTCTGCAAACCTATTCAATGAAAAATTTGAATGCAGCCAAAAAAGTTGATAGGTGGTTTGCTTGCTTTGTTTTAGTTTCATATATGGCTTAGTCAAATTGGTTTGTTTTGTTTTGCTTCAAGATTTGGATGTTATAAGCTATATGAAAAGCAAATCTTAGATCAAACACTTAAGCTTAACAACCCCACTGATGATGACATTAGTTCTAGAAATGCGATGATGTAAGAGCATTATTGTGGAAACTTGAAAAGGCGGATTGCTATGCTGACTGGCACAAATAAAATGTTAAGATGTGTTTGTGGTAACACATAGAAGGAGAGTGAGATGCAATTGTACTAGAGGAGAGGCATATTGGAGGCATTTGTTGAATATGTTGTGATGTGAAATAGATTTACGTGGTTTGACTAATATGTATTGTTGAGGCCAAAAGCTCTCTGATATAGCTAGTAGTTGACATTTATGCGTATGAATAGTAAGGAAATGAGATAGAACTATGGCGATATGGCTAAATGTTGTGAAACAGACTTGCACAAATAGAGTTGTTTCATGTTCCTCTTCCG